GCAGTGGCCCCGCGACCTTTTGCAAATATGTATATATTGAAGTACTGGCAATGGCCAGATTCTCCACTCAAGACATGAGCGTCTGTTGCTATAGTGCCCTCCATCAGTTTCCACTGGTTTCAAATAACAGTGACGCGGCTGAGAGAGAAGCACTGGGATCTCCTGGAGTCCTGCCTTGGCTTCCACGTCGGGGAACAAGGCATGACTCAGAGTCCCCTGGTGAATGTAAATATTGTACATAGGTGTGAATGTGATTTATTTACTTTAATTTTATCTAGCTTTTATCTATTATTTCATTATTTTTTTTGTACACAGGCATACCAATTTCCTTATTTTATTTATTTATATTTCTTTTTCTTTATTATTGATATTAATTGTATGTACATATTGTGTAAATGAATCATGTAGCCTTAATATTAATGCCCTTCAATGTGGCAGAATGTATTAATATTCAATAAAGAAAGTTAAAAAAAAATATATATAATACTAACTTATGAGGGCGAGAAAGTTGAGGAGACGGCTAGGAACATTGTGTGTTCAATTCTCACCTGAGACAGTCAATATTTATTTCTCAGCGACTATTAGGAGTTGGTAAAAGGTAGCACTTATGAGACTAGTACCACCCCCACTAATACAACCCGTCATTAGTACCAGTGAAAGACGCACAATATTTAAAAACATGAAAAGACGATTGGTTGAGGCCTGAGTCATAAAATAAAATAAGTAACAATTAATGAATTATATTTATTTTTTCTCGACGTTTCAACCCAAAGTTTAGGAATTTATCACGGCTGGTCAAAAATAAGATTCTCGTAAGAGGTTCCTTTGATCAGCCCTGATGAAGGCCTGAACTTCGGACCGAGCCGTCGGTAAAAAATAAAAATTAATTTAATTTAATTATTTTAACTTTTTTTTTTACCGAACACCTCAATCAGTCTTATCTTCAATTATTTATTACAGACAACCATCAATCAACCAATATTATAAAAATATATATACAGCTAGACAAGAGAAGGAAGCAAGTTTTCTTTTTTTTTGTTCACTCCAATCCTATTTATGGTCAATTTGATTTTCTTTTGGGTTATTTTTATGTTGATATTGACAAAAATTGATATACTGCTAGAAATTCATTGATGCAGCTTATTTCTAGGTTAAGGTAGGATAGGAATAGTAGGTCGATAAATTTCAGGATTATTAAGCCGCTATTATAGGCTTATTTATGAATACGTTTTCTAATTTTTTGTTCATGTTTGTAAATCCCGAAATAATTTTTTTTTCTATCTATTTTGTAAATGAGAAGGTTGGACTGTTATTTCTAATTCCGTTCCCATCCCAAACCTATCTGAAATTTTTTCTATTGTTTCTTTGTTAAATATATATTTATTAATTTATTTTTTTCTTTTAGCTATCTGGAAGCTTGGGAATGATATCTGAACGTTCATGCTCCAGTTGACTAAATGTGAAATAGCCAGCTTGCCACTTCCAGTCAGTAGAATATTATCAATTACTGATTTATTTATTAGGTAAATCAGAAAAAAAACTATGCTGCATTTTTTTTTAAATCAATGATTAATTTGATTAAAAAAACCATTGAATTTAACTGCGAAAAGTCAAACCACTCATTCCTAAATTAAGATTAAATTTGTTAGGAAAATTCCTATTTTAACAAGACTTTGTTATAGTTAGTATAGAAAACGCCTTTGCTAAACTATACGCATCAGCTACTGCTTTGTTCTTTACCAGGCCATAGTTAACAAGCCATAAAATTTTGTATTAACTTAAAGAGTTCAACCCACACAATCAGTTCAAGCTTCAAGGGCTGCTCCATAATCTTTATGGAAAAAATATGGAACAAGATTGAAATATTTTATCATAAATTCTACTCAATGGCTAAAAAATTGAATGTTATTACAAAAATAAAATATTAAAATTACAATAATAATAAAAACATTATTATAAAAAAATATATAAAAATTGCTATACCGTATGAGTAAAGATTTGAGTAAAAAAAAAAAAGATAAGCTAAATACATGCGATAGCAAGAAAATAACCAATAGATCCGATATATATATATATATATATATATATATATATATATATATATATATATATATATATATATATTTATTGTAAAGTATAAATACAGATGAAATAAACTTGATAAATGTTAGTAGTAAAAAATATACTTTGAAATTAGATCTATAACAAACCTTTCCGCCAGTGATTGCATTGTAGTTGGATGTGATGGCACTACTTTTCTTTTAAAAGTGGTCTAATTATGCTTCTAATACGAGTGATGTGGCTGGAAAAGTGGCGCTGGGATCTTCCGGAGTCTTGCTTTGCCTTCAACGTGTGGGGGAAAAAGTCTGGTTCGGAGATTCTTGGGCGAATGTATATAGTTATGATTGTGTTTAGAAGTTTTTATTTTATTTTATTTGATTATTATTATTATTTTTTCTTTTCTTTTTATTAACCTTCTTCATTAGTATTATTTATTTACTTCTTATATTTATATTTATTTCTTTATTATTTTTATATATTGTATGAATGAGAACTTTTAGCCCTAATGCTTATAGAACTCCAGCAGTGGCTGATTTTATTATTATTCAATAAATAGATTAAAAAACAAAAAACTTTTTTTTTAAAAGTGGAGTAACAGTTGTTTGCATACACATACGCTTCTTTATTATTGCTATACACGATTGTAAAAAAAAAATTAATGTTCTCTCTTATCTATTAGTGAATCCACGAAGAGGCGGAAAACCTTTCCGGCTGAAGCCCTCCAAAAATACAATTTGAGTTAAATACTTAAATATCTACAATATGTTCACCTATAAAATTATAAATCATATAAAATATTAAACTTAAGCTACTATTAAGTGAAAAAAAAATGTCCAAAACATTATTGTTTCTAAAATATTTATTTTTAATTTAACATAAAACATAAAATGCTAGAGTCTAAGATTTTACTTTAAGTACATTTTATTTTATGTCTATTTTTATTTTTACCCATTTATGTATATTTATATTTGTTTCTTCTTTTCCCTCTCCTTATAATATTTTATTTTCTCCTTACTTCTATGTGCACTTTTGTTATTACTTTATTTATTTATGTCTCTGTATATACGGTGTGAATGTGCCCTCTGAACTCTTTTATAAGTGAGACATAATGTAATATTTCTCAATAAATAACTTGAAAAAAAATAAAACCCATGATGCCATAAAACTAAATCATGAATCAATAACTACCCTTATCTACACTGTAAATGCCAGAGAAAAATGTTGGGCACCAAAATTTGCAAACTATGTAGAATATTATTATAAAAATATTTTTCAACGAAACCTTTAGACTATTCTTTAAATATTTATATAACAAACAAAATTATTCATACTTAATTACTTTAATTTTTTTTTTAATACTGTTAACAGTTCACGTGCAACAGTATTGACAGTGCATGTTTTAAACTGTTAACAGTTTAAAACGTGCACAGAAACGATGATTCAAAAGTAAACAAAATTATAAACACAACATTCCTTTTTTTTATGTACCTCGTATAATATCTTTATTAAATTAATTTTCTTCAGGAGTAATTATTTTTGAATTGTGTTCAATAACACTGTTCTCATACTCAGTTTCTGAAATTCACGAATATTCCTAATCACTGTTACGAGCTCTCTTTCTCTTATTTTGCTGTTTTGTTGAAGTCCGTAGCGTAATAAGATATTAATTTATTTGACAGAAAATGAATGTTTTGTTTTTTTCTTTTCTTTTAATCACAAAATTTTCACCTTCACCATAAAAGAAACAAAAAAAGTAAGACAATAAAAAAAAAATGTAAAGATAAATCCTGAGTTAGAGTCCCCAGGTCTCATAAGCATTAAGATTTTCGTCAAAGGTATGTAGATATTTATACAATAATCTGCTGCGTCATAAATATTTTAAATATATATACAGACCCAATATATGCAAAATTCAATAAAAATAAAATTAACAATCAATTAGTTAAATTTACTTGATTAACAAAAATAAATAAATGGACACGCATACATACACTTATATGCATACATGATATTTTTATTAAATTAATTTTCTTCAGGACTAATTATTTTCTTTTTGAACTGTGTTCAATAACACTCTTCTCATACTTCTGAAATTCATGAATATTTCTAATCACTATTACGAGCTCTCTTACTCTTATTTTGCTGTTTATTGAATTCCGTAGCTTAATAAACTAAACTTTGGTGAATTACTTCTTCAATACCTAGACTTATAATTTTTATTTTGTATTTTTGAGGTAACTGAACCTAAATAAATATTCTTTTTTTCTTTTCAGGGAAGTTGTCTATTTATTTTAGTTGTATGGCAATAATAACTTCCAATGGGTAACAATTGAGTGTATTTTTATTATCAACGTTACATGTTAACAAGTCAGTTGACGTTTCGGGATATTTATTCCCATCTTCGGAACTGCAATCCCAATATTCTTGTGGATGCAAGGCTTAAATTAAATAATAATAATGTGCTCCATCGTCAAATTTATAATTCATGTTCTAAAATGTATCTTCTAGAGCAACATCCTCCTTTTTTTTGTAACTTTTTCAAAAAAATGATAATGTTGCTCTAGATGATACATTTTAGAACATGAATTAGAAATTTGACGATGGAGCACATTATTATTATTATTAAATTTAAGCCTTGCATCCACAAGAGTATTGGAATTGCAGTTCCGAAGATGGGAATAAATATCCCGAAACGTCAACTGACTTGTTAACATGTAACGTTGATAATAAAAATACACTCAATTGTTACCCATTGGAAGTTATTATTGCCATACTACTAAACTAAATAAATAAAAGATAGCTGCAAAGGTGTGAAGAAATATTTGACATCTTGAATAAAATTCTCTACTACAAAATTATACCTGAAAGAAATACAATCCAAGAAGAATATCTACTTAATGTAAGAGTAAAGTGCAACAATTGGTAAAGTAATATTAGACTTACACAGTAAAGTGGTAGAAAAAGCAGATCCATCCGCCTGGATGCTCGAGGAAGACGTATACCCTCTCCTGGAATGTCTTTCCCCTCCTCTGGTGGAAAACGTACTTGGCCTTGAAGGCCTGGTCGATGGGGAGGTATATCGGGTAGTATGGGTCAGGCACTCCTGGGGCCACCGGCGGGGTGGGGTCCTCCGACTCCTGCCTCTGGACGGGCTGCCTCCGCGGCCGCCGCTTCTTCATCGGCGTCGGCACCCGCTTGTGGTGCGCCTCCCAGTAGCGGGGGGTGCGCCGCCACCGTTCCTGCTCAACCACCAATCACACTCTCTCAGCTCTGTGCTACTTCACTACTTTATTTGCTAATAGCAAACACGAAGATAGATACTGAATAGTATAGTGATATTATTAATGTAAACCAATAAAAACTCACCAAAAGACAGAAATTCGATGTTGGTTTATGATTGGGAAAATCCAATCAAACAGCCTCAAATTCTTGAAACACAGGTAAAGAATAAAATAATCCGTCAAAGTTTCGCCAATTTAGGTATGATCAGAACAGAAAAGAAAAGAAACCCGAGATCATGACATCCAATCGTAGATGTGTGGAGTGATGTAATCTTGGGATTGATTTCTTTTCTGTCCTGAAGATGAATGAATTAGCGAAACGTTGACGGGTTTTTTATTCTTTATCTGCATTTTAGAGATATGAAAAATGGATATTGTTTATTTGATTAAACTTTATAAATTTGGGAGAGAATCCTTCCATAATTATTCCATTGACCAAAATAAATATATATAAAACAATATGATAATTTAAGTAATAATAATATAAAAACGTTAATGTACACTAATGACGTAATAATAGACTTATCATCTGAAATACCATAGACATAATATCGTCGGCACCATATAATTGTAACGAATGTGAAAGATTGGACAGGTCCAGATTCGTTAAATTAACATAGTGACGACTATACATTTCATAAATAGGTATAAGAATTCTTCAATCGAATGTTTTTAATGAACTAACTAAATTTAAATTATACTTGTTTTACCTGAGAAATTATGATTTTCATTAAAATAAATTCAATTAGAAACGAGTCAAATTACCATTTCGCCAGACTGGTGTAATATTGCAGCAAACACATATGATAACGGTTCCATTCCCCGAGGAGATAAGCATTACCTCCGCTCCCAGAACGGATAACATTATTCAATGCTCACTCCTGCAGATAAACGGCTGCTCTTTGACAGCATTCCACGCCCTCCCCTCTCTCTCCTCCCTCCTCTCTCTTCCATCCTCCCTCTAACTCTAAACCGCGTGACTGACCCTCAGGATCGCTAGCGGAAGGTAAACTTGACTGACCCGACCATTCGTCTTTGTTGGGTGTCCAAGTACTCGACATGGTTCGGACATTCCTACTCAACAAAAGCACGAAGAGGAAGTGATTAGTTGATTCAGAATATTGTATTTTAAGTAAATTGTTAAAAGATAAATTAAAATTATTGGCCATGATTCTAAGCTATAATAACGGCATCATTATTATATATTTTTTATGTAGAATAATTATCCAGTTATAATTATATCATTTCAAACTAAATTCTTCAGTTTCTCTATCATTAGCAAATATCAGTCCACTTTCTAATCCAGGTGCAATCAGGAATTAAAATATTAACATCTCATTTTCACATTTATATTCTAATAAAAGTCCATGCGGATAGAGAAAATAGGATAAGATGGACTAAGATGGGAAGGCAAGGCAACATGAGGAATAGCTTTATTTCCTAGTTAGAGTGCTTCCATTTGCAGGAAACTACGTCAACTTCATAAGTTCAAAGGAACATATCATTTTATACAGGCGTGTCTGGTCTGATGATGAGTAATAAACCGAATTTCAAAATACTCCGCAGTACAGACTCCTTTTTATCAAATTATTAACATCCGCATAAAACTTAATTGCTTCATTATATCGTAACCTACAGTTTTTTTATCTGCAAAAGCTATCAGAAATGGAACGTTTTCTCATGAAATTAATTAATAAAAACTCATCAATAACCTTCTTATTTTGACAGGTTGTGGTGGAGGTCACGCCAAACGGTTCAATACCTGAACGGATAAAGAAATAAAAAGAACCGTCTTCCTAAAATAAAACAATGGAATTGGAAAAATCGCAAGCCAGGAGCGGGGATAACGAGCGGGCTAACGCGTGTGCACAGCAACGCGCGTTGCCCGGCAACCTCATAACCGAATTTATACGGAATAAAAATAAGTAGGAGTTCGCGTCCCAGTACCACTGCTGTTTTTAACTCTGACATTAATCCCCTGATTAATCTCCTGGCCAGGAAAACCCCGTATAGCCTAAAAATCGAGGAAGGAGAGAACGAAAAAAAAAAAAGATAAAACGGAAGCTAAGAAGATTAAGAATATTGTTTTTATTCTATGATAAAAAAAACCCTGTACCACTATAACCCATGAAGGGTCTTGGGTTCAGTACTAATTAGGGAAAGTACTGTTTCTTGGTCAACAGTTGTGCAAGCAGGTGATTTGCCCGAGAGCCGGCTCAACGGCCTTTTTTTATCCTTAATTAATTGTTTAATTAAGGGAACTCACTTTGTAGAGGCTGGATGCGCCCCAGGAGGGCATAAATAAAATAATAAATAATTTTCTGCCATGAGCCGGTATTCGATCTTTAGCATTAGAAGCTCAGTATCCTACCACTGAGCTATCTTAGCATTTTATTTCTATGACATAGTTTAAATTTACAGGGTTTTTTTTTTCGTATGAGTTAGTTATGTATTAGTATTTAATAGCGACAAAGCTTTCTTTTGGAATATTTCTGGAGTCCAATAACTACCTAAGAGTCCAATAATCTTTTACATTTATTTTACTTTTTTTATTGTTGGTAACACTAACAAAAATATGCCATATTTAAGACAATCATCAAAATACTTAAGAATTACGAGGAAGACCTGTATTAATATTTGCCTTCCCTCTATAATCTTACAACGTAAAATTTGAAAAAAAAAAAACACGATTTTAATATTAGTTATTTTGAAAATACGCAACGTGATGCACATATTATTTCAATTTTGGTTATGAAAGAGTTTAACACTGTTGAATCCACAAGTAAAACAATATTAGGGTTAAATTAGAAATATGTACGAAAAAGTTTCCTTCCAAATTCCTAGTCAAAATTACCAGTAAAATAATTGTTTTCTATCATAACCTTTAACACTTTGAAGGCCCTGGGCGGTTTTCATGATTCCAATCTAAAGAGAAGATTAAATTTAATCATATAGTTATATCCCATTTAGTCTCATTTTTTATTGCAATATCAGAAAATTCTTCTCACCAATTTAAAGTAATGAGGTGTAAGGCTATGGTAACGTTAGATGGCAGTAGGGTACCTACACGTTGTCGGTCTTTTGTTGGCCAGAATTTATGATAACTATTTATGTGTAACTGTTATTATAACAAAGATTTTTTTAAAAAGTAGTTTGTGAATTCTAGTTTATATTATTAAAACCTTATGTTTAAATACATATTAATCATCAAAATAAACCAATAGTATCATCGTCGAAATGTGGTACTTAAACAAACTACGAGATAGCTCGTAGTTGGCGTCCTATACAAAAATACTAACTTCGGATTCTCTCATAGGTCGATAGTCACCGTGTTAGTTATTGGTTAGTATTATTAATTCATGAGAGAAAAAAACAAAAGACCAAAACTTAATAAATCTTTGACAATATCAATCAACATTACTGCTTAGCAAGTTCTCTGATAAATCAGTTGTGCGGTATGGTATATCTTGAGCGCCTGTAGGACATCTATATATATTTTTTTCAATAATAATATTTCGTTACCATTTATTCAAATAATACACTTATATGCCAAAAGAAAAAGAGATTATTAAATAAGAATTTTATCTCGGATCTATTTCAAATAACGAGTCAAATAAATTCCTTGATGGCTATCGTGAGCGATTCAAAATTAATAAATAATAAAATGCGAAGTGAAAATGGGAAAAGAGGAAGAGAAAGAGACAGATCATAATTTTCAAATTAAGATTAGTGTTATAATATATATATATATAATAGTAAATAAATTATTTGATATTCGATAGCTTTGGAAGTGTTTTGAATTAAGTATGCTGCTTGAAGCCTTTAACAGAGGCCCTGCAACAGTTGGTGGGGTTAGAATAAATTATGATCCCTTTTGAAGTAGTCTTAGAGATGATTCCGTTTAGCAGAAATGCTAGTTATGAAGTAATTTGTGATACTCTTTCACGAACCTTTAGTGTCTTTTGCTCTTTTTGTATATCCAATATTCTGAAGTGATAATTGTATAAATAAGTAAATGATTATGAAGCACCAGTATCTCTAGAAAAATAAATGAACATTATAGGGAAATAGTTTACAATGTATTTCAGATTATTTGTAGTGCGTTTATATGGAAATAGTAAAAAAATCATAAGTTTGTTCCCTGAATTCATTAGTTCATTCATTATATTACTAAGCTGAATTCTTTTTAAATATTACTTGTGAATTTTATTTCATATATATTTATCTGAAAATAAAAAAATCAGCGGATTGTAAAAGAAATGAGATAAAATAAAACATACCCAGCCTTATGTTTATGTCTATATATTATTAAAAATTATTACAATAGATCTAATGTACACTTCCTTTTCGAACTGCTTGTGACCATATGCGTAGAGGTAATGGTTTATTTTTATGTAAAAAGAATCGTTTCTTAGGATACGACATGAAATCGACTCAATAAGGAACATGTGTAATGGATCAATAAGCTACAGATTGACAAGCGGTGTGTCTTTTTATTGTGTAGTCCGGAATGATAATGCAGGATTTTGGTTTAAAAAGAAAAAAAAAAGATTTACAACTGTTTTATTTCGTCAAAATAGTCTCTACTACTATCAATACATTTCTGCCAAAGTGTTGGCTACTTTTCTATTTCCTCGGAATAGAATTTCCCATCTTTAGAATTGATAAACTCTAAAAACACATCTTTTAATTCCCTTTGTCCATTAATTAGGTTTTTTTTCACGTAAGTAGTGGTCCTGGTGTCTAAACAAATTATAACCCGTAGGAGGATAGGGCGGATGTGGAAGAATTTCATATCTAAGCACAACAATTTTTGTGACGTCACACATGAGACATGTGTCCGGGCGTTGTCATGCAACAAAATGGGCTTCTTCCGATTGACCAAAAATGGCGTCATTATTTCCTATTTCTGATGTATATTATTTTTCTCTCTGAAACTCTGAGAGGACAAAGTCTGAGTAAATTTAAGAAACTAGATTCTTAATTATATTTTTATTTTGACTGTCTTCTGAACGGTTGTTTAAGCATTTCATTTAATAGTTTAATAAATAATTTTTTTATTAATAGTTTTTAAATCTGCTCAAGCCAGCTACTTATGTTATATGCTAAGCTGTACGGAGTTGTGTTTTCAAATATTCATTCGCCAAAACAAAGTTATTGAAGAAATAAAACCTGTGATAGATTGTTCATGCCTGTTGGTCTTGCAACAAATGTATCATCAGTGATCAGGTTACCACAAATCCAATCGAAGTTTTTTCCATTAGTCATTGTCACACATTGTCAAATGGTACAATAGATTATTTCATCATTAATCTCTGTATTGCTGTACACATTGAGTTGTTTTTTTATCAGGATTCGTCAAACTATTCTCCCTTTGATTACCTAAAAGATCTATTTTTCTGTGTTTTCATTATTTATAAAAAAAATAGGAACATGTGCCTTAAATCCTCAAAAATTAAATTGTCTAAGAGGGGAAAAGCAAGACCATGTATCATTTATTTTCGTTGTTGCATTGGTCTCTGTGCAATTTTAGGGTTTGCGATATACAATGATCAGGGAAACATAGACATGGGAAAAGGAGAGAGGGGTTCATTCGAAAAATTACATCTATTGTTTCTTCTGGAAAAAAATTCTGAAGAGAGACCAATTGTGAAGTCTTGATAGGATACATTACTGGTTTGAATACGGATTATCCCGAAAAGTTTAATAAAATAGAACGTACATTTTTACATCCAATTATTAAAAGTACAATCCTTATGCTAAAATATATTTTATAAATTTCATTTTCTGTACTGTTAAAAATCACTATACGACTGATGATCAATTATTACATATTAAGAATATCTTTCTGCTATGTATCGGAGAGGCCAGCATAAGGTTTAAAATATATTTAAAATTTTAATATTTAAGAATTTCCAGCATAGATCAGGTAAGACGGGGCCAGCTTAGTGAACTTGGATAAGGTTTTCGCCAACACTCCGGCTGGAAGGTTAGAAAGCGCTAATGCATTCCCATTAGCGTAATTTAAATAAGTTCACAACCTTCCGGATTAAACCTGGTA